CTCTCTCTCTCTCTCTCTGAATGACTAAGGATTCTACTGTAACTTCTATGAATCCTCTCTCTTTCTCTCTCTTTCTCTCTCTCTCTCTCTAGGAATAAGTAAGGATTCTATTGTAACTTCTATGAATCCTCTCTCTCTCTCTCTCTAGGAATAACTAAGGATTCTACTGTAACTTCTATGAATCCTCTCTCTTTCTCTCTCTTTTGGAATAACTAAGGATTCTATTGTAACTTCTATGAATCCTCTCTCTATCTCTTGGAATGACTAAAGATGCTATGGCGAGCCTGTAACATTTATGAAATCCTCCATTTCTCTAGGAATAACATAGGATTTTTTACTGAAACTTCTATGAAAAACTCACTCTCTCTCTCTGGCTCCATTGGTCCCCATCTATGAAATCCGCAGGACTGTTCTTATGGGGTGATCGACTCTCTCTCTCTCTCTCTCTAGAATCAGCCTGGTTTATTTAGATGGCGAGATTCCCCCGCGGCAGATGTCTTTCTCTATGTGAAATCCAAGGGATTTTTATAGGGGATGATCTCTCCCTCTGAAACATATTTCCAGTTTGTTTGATAGGTTAACACCAACGTCAAATTATGAAGAGCTTTCAGACTCTAAACTTCATTCATCTTTGATGTGAATACAGAGAGGTAGTTCAAAACTAACATGGCAATCATTTTCGTGGTGAAAAAGCTGATGCATTCCAGCCTTTTACAGATTGCATTAAAACGGTTATATTTTCAGAGTTGTAACGGCCATATTTCATGAGAAATAAAAAAAGTTGGGTTTTCTTTCAAATCAAACTACAGTAAGAATAATAGCACCTCATAATGTTAAAAGATCGATGAAATCTAAAAACCCATCTTTTTTTTTTTGGGAGATATTCATATTTTAAAAGATCGATGAAATCTAAAAACCCATCGTTTATTTTTTTTTATTTTTTTTTGAGATATATTCATATTTCACTGTGAGATTTAAACAAGAAATTGAGAAAGAGAGGAGAGAATATTCAAATGAAACCACACAACATAGCATTGTATCATTGACTGATTTTCAATGTAGCAGTGATATATCATCCATCTCTGACTCTCTCTCTCTCTCTGTGAAATTCTGAATCTCTCTCTCTCTAGAGTCTAGAGATTTCAATGTACTATTGTCAAATAGGCACTGCAACTCGTGTATCTTTTGGGTCAGAAGCTGGGTTAGAGACGAGTTTTCGTGGTGTGGTTGAATGGGTAAGTATGAGATGTACATTTTCTGAGTAGGATATTTGTGGGGTCAGACCTTAGTGTTTTTCTGAGTAGGAAATTTGTGGGGTCAGACCTCTTGTCCATGATACAGGCTAGCAGCATTTTCGCTTTGCATTTTGGGTTTTCTTTTTTCCTCTCTTTATTTTTGTGTAGGTTTTTTCTTTTTTCCTCTCTTTATTTTTGTGTAGGTCCATGTAAGACATGGTGCTGCATGTATAACTCAATCCATCCTCTTTCTCTCTATCTCTCATAGAAGGTCCATAGTCCATGTAAGACCTGGTGCTGCAAGTATAACTCGAGCCATCCTCTCTCTATCTCTCATAGACACGCAATGTCTACATTGCCCTTCAATCTTTCCTCTCTCCCATCTTTCCTAAAATTTGAGCGCACGCAAAATTTGAGCGCTTACTTGGCATTTATTCATCAATCAAAGATAAGAAGATTGTGCATCTAGGAGCAAAATCGACCAAGAAATATGAGATTCAGACGATAATGATTAGCAAAATCGACCATGAAATATGAGCTTCAGACGATAATGATTCAAAACAAGCATCAGATTAATAGTCGATTATCATTCCTATGGATTTTACAGATTGACCATCATTTTCCATTTTCATGGAACACTCGTAAAAATTGTCCAGTGTGAGGCTGATGGATTATTCAGGACAAAAAAAACATTTGCAAAAAGAACATCAGAAGCCTTGAAACATTTTCGAATCTGGCTCCTCCATGCCCGGGAAGATTACATACAAAAAATCTCAAAACAAAAACTCACAGTTCCCGCTTATGGGGTCATATTGCATCAATTGTCCTGATCAAAGCTCATAATCTCCATAATCAGTCAGCATCCAATTTGTTGTAAACTCCATGATGACCCCAATTCAAGAAACAGAATGAACTCCTTGATGGTCCTAATTCATTATGCAAAGCTCAGGGACACCATCCAGTCTTACCATGACAGAATTCCAAAATACATTGAAGTGCACCAAATATGGAGTGAGAAAAATGTTCAGGACACAAATTCGAGGTCAAGTTATCGCAAGCCCCGAGCATAATGAACACCAGGGTTCATGTGATCTTTTGAGACTAAAGGCAAGCCAAAAGAACTCTGCCTAAGAAAGCTTCTTGGTACTTCCAAATTACCTCCGCGCTTTGTGGGATTCGAAGAATGGGAAGTGATATCTGATGCTGGATCCCTATACGTAAAACCATTTTGGTGAGTGAAACCAGAGGACTTTCCTAGCCTAAGGCAGGAACTGGGCTTGGGTTTCCCACTGAATCCTGAATTGTCCATGAACACCATTCTTGAACCAGCATTGGGTTCAGGAGAATCATCAATAACAATTACTTCTCTCATAGAACCAGGCTTCTCAATTGGTTGCTTTGCTAGGGTTTTCCCATAATATGGTGTTCCTCTTGATCCAGCATGCAAATTAACCCCTGAAAAATCTCTTGCATGAAGGCAACTTTGGTTGTTATATTGGGCTTGATTTAAGCTAGAATCACTGGGTTTCCTGAGAGATTTGGGCAAACCGGCTTGTGGTTTAGAAAGAGAATCACAAAAGTAAGGAGCAATGAGAGGGGGAGGATCGGGAACCTGGTGGTTGAGTGCGTAAGGGTCAGTTGAGCCACCATTTGATAACCCTAAAAGCCTCAAATACTTCACGTCGGAACTCTCATTTGAAGCACTCTGAGCTTCATTTGGTACCGTAAGAGTCTTACCCATCAATCTCAGAATAGAGTTAGGGTTAGTGTTTGGCTGAGCATGAGGCTGAACTGGGCCATTGGAGGAAGAAGAAGATGCCAACTCATTATCACACATTGGATGCCTTGAAATTGTATTGGAAAGCATCTCTTTCCCTTTCATAGAGAACAAACCCGAATCCATATCCACATCAGGAACCACAAATTCGGCTTGAGTTGAAGCTCTATGATCGCTCAATGATTGATGGTTATGTGGCCCAAAATTCGAATTATGTTCCATGCTTTTCCCCCCAATCCAATGACTCCTTGGACCACAACAGGGAGGAATGGTCTTGGTGCTTTCTTTGGCCAAATTGCTCATTTTATTCATTTCTTCAGAAGAAGCAAAACTGGTTCTTTCATAACCATTAGAGCGACACCAAGGCCCAGAGAATTGTGGATTTCTACAAATTGAAGGTGTGTCTCGAGAAACAGTTTCTTCAGGCCACGGGCGATCATCAAGTTCCCGTTCTGTATTCTGGAGGGAGACAGCAGATACTGAAAAGAGAGAAGACCTTGTAGCACCACCATTGTATCCATTATCATGACCTTGATCAAAATATAATGGAGCCACCAAGTTGTGAACTTTAAATGAGGATGACGATGAACCCTCATGAATCCTTTTCTCAATTGTTATGTCTTTTGGTGGAGATGAACCCTCTTGAACCCCTTTCTCGAATGATATGTCCCCCGAGGTTGGTGAACTCAACCCTGGTTTTTGACTAGAACAGGGAATTGTTCCTGATCCTACATCGGGTGAGCCTTGTAAACTTGAACCTGGTTCATGAAGAGGAGAGAGAATTGCACCTGAGCCCATTTGAAGCGAGGAGTATCTCTCAAAATGAGCATCGGCATTTTCGACACATGCCCTTTGAGTGCCTGGGCTCACAATCCCATCGCTATATTTATCAGAACAATAAGCTCCTTGATCTTTATAGAATCTCAAAACACTTGATTCAGTTTGAAGATTCATCCCACAAAAAATCTCAGGTTGCGCATGGCTCAAGGGCAATAAGGGATTCAGATGCGAGAGTCGCTTAGGCACAAACTTCTCATGCAATTTCACTGTATGGATTCCATTGGAGTTTTCAGTGACGGATTTCTGAGAATCCCCACAATGCAAGTTATTGGTAAATTCTTCTACACTGTGACCTCCACAAGAACGAATGCTATGGGGCTCAGAGCTCTGGCATTTATCTCCAGATTCAACTTGCTCAACAATCGAGGATTCATGGCTTTCTGACAAGTTTTGGTAGTGAGGGTCTCTTGACCCATGAATCGATCCATTCATGAGATCCACAGGTTTAGTCCATGAGACATTTTGTGAGTCATCTCGTTCATCAGTTACCCTTCTCTCACGATGGCTTATTGAAATGGATGCTGATATATCTCTGGTTGATGAATATTTCTTTGCTTTATTGATACTATCCATCCTGCTTACCTGCTTCTGAGACTTACGAGGGGTGAAAGCCTGATCCAAACAATGCCTCTTTGATTTCTTAGGAATATCAAGTTCTTTTAACAATATTTTCTTTCTAAAAGTTTGGGCCTTTTTGGCTTCAGATGGGAAGCAAAGCCTCTCAGAAAGCTTAGGGGAGGCTTTAACACTATCATCTTTCCGTTCAGTGTGGAACTGAATTTCCACTCTCTTACTTCTCGGAGAAGCAGCATAGTTTCCCGATGCCTTAGCCAGCTGCATCATGCAACCATTTGCGCGTGAAGTGTTGGCTTCAGCAGAAGGATCACCCTTGATCAATTCGGTTGGCTTTGAATAGTGCAAGTTCACTCGCCCACTCTTGTTATTGCAATGCTTTGAGATATTTGATCTTTTGGAGCGAACCCATTTTCTTAAAGTCTCAGACTTGGGAGCTCTTACTTGGTTCAAACCATCTTCCAATGAACGAGACTTTGTCTCTCCCTCGTCATGGTCTACACGACATTTTACTTCCTTTGATCCAAGAATCTAGCAATTTCACAGAAACAAATCATGGTAACAATTTAGTAGGCTAAAAGATTTAAGAAACAAGAAATATTGATCTAAACTTAAGCAATTATTTCGGGAAAGGTCCAGTGTAAGATATACCATCTTCACAGCTGGGCCATCTAAATGGACATTACACAATATGTGGTGGAGCAGCCAAATGATGAATGGTGGAGAACCATATGAGACAGTCAAAAGAACTAATTAATCAAAGAGGAGATTTTGACAGGACTAAAAACGAGGGCATATTTCAATACCAACAGGAAAACAGACATTGCATTCGTGCTATAATGTTAAGATTTGAAATGTTCAAGTATATAGAAAAGAAAGAATAAAGGTACACAAATGAAGCAGACCATGCATTGCCTTTCATGTTTAACATGTAGTTTCTTAACAGTAAATGCATATTTGGTAGAAGGATCCGAAACAATAGAATACCCAATGAAAAATGCAAAACAGACCAAAAGAGAATAGGGACTTGCCATGTACATAAAAAATAGGGCCATTGTACTGACTATTTTTGGTAGCGCAGAATGTGTAACAAAGGTTCATGGTAGGATGCAGAAAACAATGATTCAATACATAACTGGTCTGATACAAACTACACATGCCAGTTTACGTGATGAAATTTGGATAGAAAAAATAATAATGATGATGACTTATCAACTAGAAATGGCACACACTAGATGGTTAAAAAGAATTGAACACAAGAAAATACAAAAAAAAACTACAACAATTATAACTTTAAACAAAAAAAAAAATCTGAAAATAAAGAATCTCATAGCACTGAATTCATTTATAGGCAAAGTATCCGCTATATGGAGCGAAAAGCCACTTTGGTAGACAGTATTGACCGAGAGAGCACTTTGATTCCTATTAGAAGTCTTCACACCTTGATTAAAAATCTAGGGCAATCCATGGCCTTCTACTTATCTCAAAAATTAAAAAAAGGTTCTTCTGAGGCAGAAGAGAATTTTTGAACCTTTTTAGAAAATCATAGATGATGATGCTACCACTTCCAACAATAAGGAGCAATTTCGTTACTAATGCATGGAGTGCAAAGTCATGAACTGTGCTACACAAGAAAACTAAAAGGCCATCACTTCAAGCTAATTAGGAGGAAGGATTTCGGGCATATCCAGAAATTGGAGTATTGAATCTATTCCTCCAATCATTCAGAATTATATAGGGGAGGCAAGTATGGATCAAAACGATTTCCATGCCCAACAAAACCTTGGGTAATCAAACCATAAAATCTCACCTTCCTTCTTGGGAAACAGATCCAGACAGCAAAATCTGGTCTGAAACTGCCTTGTCAACCTATGTTTTCCTAAGAACCAAGTGCCATATAACTGTAAAGAAACCAGAATTCCTCTATCAAATAATAAAGCAATTAAGTGGCTTTCTATGTACGGAAACTGTTACCCAAGCCCCAGTATTCTGTTGGCTCCCCTTGCTCATGGCCTCATGCTATTTGACCATTTGATGTCATAATGAATGCTTTATGAAATCTATTAGGAGCAATTTAAGCTCTATTCAGATTCATTACTTTTGGAATACACTTCGTATTAGCCATGAAGACCGACCTATATCAATCACTTACAAAATATTTATAAGCAATAAACCTGAAAGTCACATTATAGAGGGATGACAAAATGTGATATGACCTAGCAAAAAATGGAGACCGACACCATCCTTCATGAATGCAGGATTTAGGGTCTCAATAAACTATTGAAGCGAAAAGTGCTGAGAATGAAGAAGGAGAAAAGCAGAAAACATACTAAGCATTTAAAAACTAGAAATTCCAATAAAAATAATGAAGAAGTAAAAAAATAGACACGAATCAAATTCATGGTAACTGAAAGCATCAAGAAAATTGCATCAATATAAAAAATTAACAAAGTCAAATTAGAAGCTCCATTTTTCCTAGTAAGTCATTACGAGCACTTTGTTACTACATTAGACGTTAATAGTTGGAGAACAAGCCATTGAAGCTCTGATGTCTAGCTGGTCCCTGAAGGATCTAGAAACACATTATGAGTCACTAAAGTTGTCCATTTACCATTTTGAACTTAGGAAAGTCAGACATTCTACAATTCGCATAGAATGAAATATTAGTTTCTCAAGTACATCAGAAATACCTAAAAATATGTTGGAAGTGAGTGTGTACTTTTAAACTTAGGAGAATCAGACATTCTACGATTCGCATAGAATGTACATCAGAAATACCTGAAAATATGTTGAAGTGAGAGTGTACTTTTAAAAAATTGAGATAATGGATAAAAAAGATAATCTTAAGAATTGAGATAATGGACAACCACTACGTCATTGATCAGAACAATTGGGGTACACCAAAAGTGGTCCTATAGTTTGATGAATGAGAAGTCTAGGAGGGTATTTTCCTTTTCGTGATATATGATAAAGTTCAGCAGGTTATCAAGAAATTTTTAAGTGAGAACTGAGCCCTTCTACAAGAGGTATTGCCAAGGGAAGCACTGTGCACCATTTGGGTTTTTATCAGTTGAAAGAAAATGAATCTTGTGTATCTTTAGTCACTTACTGTAGATAGCACTTCTTTTTTCTGTTCTTTTTACTGTTCTTTGTCTTTTTCTTTTCTTGATACTCTAGGTAGCAGTTTCCCCAGTTTTGTTTTAATAATACACTTAAAAAATTTAAACACACATATATAGAGCATGTAATATATACCTCGCCTTCAAGTGATTTGAAAGAGCTAAGTTTCTTGCACTGGGGCTTCAATTTCAAATGCTTTGAGTTGCCTGGTGCAAAGCGCCTCTTTTTACCTATCAAAGAGGAAATGGATCCATTATGGCCACCAGTTTGCTTCTTTAGCTCCATTTCGTCTTTCAAACCCAAGTCTCCATTGAACTTTGACAGGATCCTAAGCTTTATGCCATTTGAATCGACATAAACTTCCTTCGAACAACTGTCTTTAACATGGTTGATCTCATTAGATGGCCTTTCATTGCTGGCTTCTCGACAATCCTGACCACTCAATGGCACCAAACTCGGGTCTGTGGCCCAGTTAGAACCATTCCTCCTATCTAGATCTTCAAGAGTGCAGTGCTGAGCAGTGACATATATATCCACCATCAATCTTTTCTTCCTCGGTTTCACCTTATATTTCGGAAGCTTCTGCTCCAAATTATTTGTGATTGATTCCACAGCAAGGCACTGGTCCATATGGGCATTCAAAGTTGTGTTGGAAGTGGATGTGAAGGTCTTGCAAACAGGGCAAACTTTTGAGGCCATTGGATCAGATACAGTGCTTAAATTTGATATTAAGTCCTCAGTGCAGCTAATCTCAGGCTTGTTTTCTAGAATTTGCTCCTTGTTAGAACTTGAACTAGTCTTATTCTCTGTCTGCTCACCCAATTCAGCTTTTGAAAATGACTGTGGTTGCCGAACTTCAACTATTGAAGGCTCATCGACTCTAGTTGACTCATTTGCTAAATGTAGGTCGAACTCCTTGCCTTTCAAGTTCCTCTCGAGGACTTGATCATCACTGGTTATTGTTGATCGAATCTCTTCCTCACTTGGAGATGCAAGATATGAATCCTTAATCTCTTTACCCGCTAAAGATGGTTCATCTATTTGAAGAGAAGATGTAGATTTAGAATTGACTAGCTCCCCATTAGTGTGATCAACATCTTTACTCCCAAAATCATCAAAAATCACAGCCTTGCGAAAAGAGGGATCCCTAACTATATCAGGAGATTCAAATGGTGGCAGCAGATTTCTGACACCATGCTTCACACATAGTTGCAAATATTGTGGAGAGAATGGCCAATTAGTTCCAATATCTCTATTCCTTGCTGCTAGAACATACTCTCTGCAAAAAAGAAACTCAATTTTCATTTCAATACTTCCAAATTTTAAACAGATCAACACTATGCAACATGAAATGAACATCATTATCTAAAAAATTTAAAGAATCCACACTACCCAACATGAAATCATCATATCCCTGGACTGGTAAAAACTATATGTCGAATTAGTTCTCTTTGGAAATACTACAATCTTATAGTGGGCGCTAAAGAAGCAATCTGGAGAGCAAGAGTTAGGAAAGTCTAATCACTGGAGCATGAAATAATAAGAGCATAATTGAAAGAAACAAGACGGCCTCATAAAGTTAGCAGATGGTACATCCAGATTCTCTGCCTGGCCATATGACCGAAGACTGATTATGCAAAACCCATCTCAAATTTTGAAAAAAATAGGATGAAAAAAGTGAGAGCACACAGTAATAAAGGAGGAGGGGTTCTACTTATCAAACTCATCTGCTTGCAAATATGGTCCAAAAAGAGCAAGCTCCAAAAATAGACTGATAATGCTTTGATGGGTACCCCCAATAAAGGAGTGAAATGAGAAACAAAGAAAAAGAAGGGAAACAAGGAGAAGGAAATAGTAACCTTATGGAGAAGTGAGGTTGTTCTAAACCATGGAGTTTAGACCCATCCAGATCTGAGGCCTGCAAGGCAAATTTTTCAGAAGCCCTATCATTATTTCCCCTTTTTGAAACTTCTGAGGAGCATGAGGGATCTGGAGGGTTTTGAACTGATAACATCTGAACATCAAACTTCTGTCTCTCCTCCTCTCTCCCCTTCTCCTCTCCTCTTTCTATACTCCTCCAACTTTCTCTTCCTTAACTCCACTTTCTCTCTCTTCCCCTCTCTCACTATCTCTCAACATACGAATCAGCACTTAAACAGCCATCAACAGGTACTGTAACTTCTTCTTCCCATCATCGCAGACAAGAAAGATCGGGAAAAACGCAATATAGAAAAATAGAAAAGAGAGAGGAAAGATAAAAGAAAATAAAGAAAATGAGGAAAAGAAAACCCTTCAACCAACCACTCCTCCTGAACTTGATACATGCCCTGGTGATGTTATCAGAGGAGCATCAGTGCCTGTACAGATGAAACCATCATCAGTGACTCGAGAGAGCACCCAAAAGGCCAAAACTCAAGAAAATAAGCCAAGGAAAACAAGTCGGGTGCTCTCCAAAACGTCATTTTATGTGGGAATCATCAACCATCTGAGAAAATAGAAGAAACCCAAATCGAATTTGGAGGTAAAAGCTTGAAATCTCAAGAACGAACAACCAAAACCAGCACAGATCAGTCTAGAAGAAGCTTCTTGAGCGTTATTTTATGTGGACAAAACCATAGCCATAAGATAAAAAAGATAAAAAGAAGCTACAGTGATACTGTAAATCACTGGAAATCAAGTAAAAGCCATCTCAGGCCTCGAGTTTCCTGATTAATGGACTTGTACAAAAAGGAATCCTCTGGAGGCTCAAACTGGGATTGATGACTTCACCATCCATAGTAAATATTGAAAACCCATCTAGGGTAAAACCCAAGAACAATAACCCAGAAATAATACTGGGAAATGGAGATTTTTCAAGAAGGATAGAAAGAAGACAAGAGATTTACCCATAAAAGAAGTTAGAAAGAGAGAGAGAGGAAAGACCACAAAGAACGATGCATCAGAATCCCATATATCATAAATAGAGATAGATGGAGAGAGGAAAGACCACAAAGAACAATGCATCAGAATCCCATATATCACTAATAGAGATAGATAAAGAGAGAGAAACCCAAGACAAGGGTTGAAACCACAGAAGAAGAAGAAGAAGAATACGAAAAATCCAGTAACAAGGACTTGCAGAAAAAGCATGCAAAAAAATGGTGTTAAAACCCGCTTCAGAAAGAGGCATGGAATGAAAACACCCAAACCTGGTCACGTTCAAGGATTTCTCTCCATATTCTAAACACTCTTCAGAAAGAGCAAGACACAACGTACTGGTGAATTGAGCAGGCATAAAAACAAGAGAGAGAAAGATAGAGAGAGAGGAGTGGTGTGCGTTATGGAGCACCTACAAAGGGGAGAACAGCGCCATCCACTAAGGCAGGGGGCATCAGGTTCTCCACCCAAAAGCACTGAAAAGCTTCGAGGAAAAATACCTGGTTATACCCACAAACCAACTTAAGGCCAGGGATGGATAGAGAGAGAGAGAGAGATAGATAGATAGAGACTACTAGAGACTGAGCGAATGAAAACTAGAGAGAGAAAGGGTAAAGAAAGGAGAGAGAGAGGGTGTAAAAACTAAAAAGAGAGAGAGTCGAGAGCGAGTAAAGAGACGGAGAAGCTAGAGAGAGAAAGCAGAGATAGAGAGTAAAAGACGGAGGGGAAGGAGAGAGGAGAGAGAGTAGGGAGAGAGGAGAGAGAGTAGGGAGAGAGGGAGAGAGGAGAGAGAGGAGGGAGAGAGGAGAGAGTAGGAGAGAGGAGAGAGAGGAGAGAGAGGAGAGAGGAGAGAGAGAGAGAGAGAGAGAGAGAGAGAGAGAGAGAGAGAGAGAGAGAGAGAGAGAGAGAGAGAGGAGAGAGAGAGAGGAGAGAGGAGAGTAGAGAGAGAGAAAGAAGCTTTACGGGACGCTGTCCTTTCCCATACCTACTCTATAAGCTTTTTGCAGATATATACGTATAAAAATTAATTTATTTTCAATAAAATTGTCGAAAATAGCCCTACCTATGGTGATAATATCGAAAGAATCCTCCTCTTTCCGCGTATTTGCGGATGAGTACACTATTTTAATATTGACTTAAATGCCCCTTATCACGGAATCCGTGATTCCTTCGCACGAGTGAGAAAGTGAAGTCCCGCACGTGACAAGTCTCCACGTAAAGTAGGGCGGTTGCCGCTTGAGAGTGGGACCCAACCATGATATTTCTTCCCCTTGTTTGAATGGACGGCGATAATCGAGCGTGCTCACACATGTTAAGGATCTCACTGATGAGTATTAAGTGACCTGCCAAATGGATCTCTCGCTCTACATCATGAATTGGATTATTGTTTCATGCGGGCTGGACGCCATCGCTACAATATGCGGTCCAAAGCCATAAAGCATCCTCCCTCCATCTTAAAGGCACATGCAAATAGGTGGTCCATCTAAAAACAAGTGTAACTAATTATTCAAATATTTTTTTAATATAATTATTATTTTTTATTTTTATCTTTTTTTATATTCATAATCTCCATTTTAAAGATTATATATCATCTAAAAATTAGGACCAAATTATATTTAAAAAATACATTATTTGCCAAGCCTGCATTTCTACAATATGCGGGCTGGCCCCATAGAAACCATGTCCTCATGAATTTCTTACCACTTTGAAGCCCTAAACAATCAAAATAAGTTGTACCCGGCATCCTAGTCACTACATTGTGGTTTCCATTCCTACCACAAACATCACCCCACTAACACCATCAAAAGCCAACTCCTAATCTACTTGAAAAAAACAGATAGGAGCTTGTTTTCTCCATTGAATTACAGAAAAAAAAAAGAACAAGGTGTGCCTTCAAATAGTGCTGAAATATGTTATTTTAGTATCAGAAATATTTATGATGATTTGAAAGTATCTTTATCTCTAATTATAAAATTGAAAATAATGTAGATTGAGCAGATCTATGAAGATTTGATAAACTTGAAATTTGACAGTCTAGATAATATATTACAAGATACACTATTTCGAAGACCTTGAAATCTATTTTTTTCTCATGTCCATAAATCGTGAGGTTGAGATGGTCGAATTGATGGTTTTTAGACATTGAAATGACCTCTTTAAGACGCGCCTTAATTTGATTGTTTCGCCCTACAATAAACTTTCCTATATAAGTAATAGTATGATTATAGAAATTTCAATCTTATAATTCCACACCTTATTGACCATTCTCTTAAAAAACTCTTTATTTTATCACGATAAAGTCCTTATGTGTTTTTTGGGTTTGTCAAAGGATAAGTTAGTGGGGATTTGGCCCTTACCTCTAGGTGAGCGTGGAGTATGTGATTTCATCATAAGACTCGGTTGTACTACCGTCAAGGTCCCATTTTATCACGATAAAATCTATTATCGATAATAACTGCGATAATATCTCAGTGAAATGAATTTAAGGCCTCTCACTATTATCAATATTTTACGATAAAAATAACTGATACATAATTGAAATCAAATTTAGAAATTTTCATTTGAAAATATACGCGTGATTACCTTTAAATAGCTCTAAAAACACAATAAGGCCATTGAGGGGTACTTTTTTTTTTTTTTTTGTGTTTTGATAAGTCAATGGAGGAAAAAGCCACCTACTTGTTTTCATTGACAATAATGGAGAAAATAAATATCGTATCTTTACAACCCTATAATAAGCCAGTTGTGCCAAATCATGAACCACATATTTGAAAGTTAAAGCAATTAAGCTGGATGATGAAATTTGATATTTTAATTTAATATAAATTATAAATTAATTTCAACTCAGTCACTTGCAAAAATTTGCCCAAATAAAAAGAGAAAACACAGAAATATTCAAATAAACTACCCACCAATATTATCCCCGATAACTAAGTTGGATCGTGATTTCATGTATTTTGATATGCATTACAAATTATTTTCGATTTTGTCATTTGTATTTAATGCAATTATGTTTTCAAATGTGCAATTTGAGTACATGTTTATTTAATACCAATAAAAGTTTATTTTATATTAGATAATTTATTAATATAAGGAAACTGGTTTGATAGGGTTGCAGCCCTATCAAAATAAGTAAAGCCTCACCTTAAAATTCATTAGAAATTGCAATTCAAGTATTAGAAAAGTTTCACATCTATCATCTCAGCTTTAACGTTACGGTAGTGAAAAAAATTAGGATTATAAACTCTAAAAATAGTGTACAGTATAACAAATTATCTAGATTGCTCATTTCGCCCTAAAAACAAATGTTCTCCACAAGATTTGTACCATTTTTCAAGCTTCAAATTTTATTTGCAATATTAAAAATTGATCTTAGAGCCATGATGGAGATTTCTGTTGCTAAATTTGCTACTTTATTTTGTTTTCATAAAACCTAGGTCTTACATAAACTTTATCCTTAATGGAATATATTAAAGATATGGTAATTATCTAAAAAGTTCATTAGAAATTGCAATTCAAGTATTGGAAATTTTTCACATCGATCATCTCGGCTTTAACGTTATGGTAGTGAAAAAAATTAAGATTTCAAGCTCTAAAAATAGTGTATACTATAACAAATTATCTAGACGGCTCATTTTGCCCTAAAAACAAGTGTTCACATATCCATAAGATTTGTACCATTTTTGAAGCTTTAAATTTTATTTGCAGTATAAAAAATTGATCTTAGAGCCATGATGGAGATCTCCGTTGCTAAATTTGCTATTTTATTTTGTTTTCATAAAACCTAGGTCTTACATAAACTTTATCCTTAATATAATAGATTAAAGATATGGTAATTATCTAAAAAGTTCTCAGTTAAAAAGACGAGGGTGAAAATATTCAAAATAAACTACCCCCAAAAAGATAAAAATATCACTGAGGCCATAAAGAGCATATAACAGCTCATTCTTTTTCTGGTCGTTTGTGATTAGCTAAAAATAGCTTTAAAAACCCAATAAGGCAATTGGGAGCAATTTCCAATGAATTGACAATGGATATGTAAACTAAAGCTATTAAGTTGGATGGTGATTTTTCAATTTTAAATTTTGACGCGCATTACAAATTATTTTCGACTTTGTCATTTGTAAAATATTTAATTTAATTATGTTTTTAATTGTTCAAAAATATTAATACATATTTGTTAGTGTCAATAAAGTTTATTCTACATCAGGAATAACTCGGTATCTACATAATGACGTATTGTGGTGTACATTATTTTACACATGACATAGCTTTGTAACTAGATATAAGGTAGAACTTTAATATAAGTTTACAAGTTTACGAATAATATGAATGGAAATGAGGAATTAGTTAGATTTATGGACAAGAAGTAACTAAAATATATTATTTTCAATATCATGTGTCGATAATATATGAAAATAGAGAGATTGAGGAAGATGTCATCATAAAATTAGAAATAGGTAGACAAAATGGATATGTATTTCTAGAGTCTTGTGTGACCACGTACTAACGAAACTGCAGGGGAAGTTTTATAGGATGATCGTAAGACCAGTCATACTCTATATGACAGAATATTGGGTGGTCAAGAAATTAACATATTTATAAAATGAATGTAGCTCATATGAAGATGTTGAGATGGATGAATGACAAGATAAGAAAAGATAGAATTCAGAATGAACACATTAAAGGGAGCTTAAGGTTGATTCCAATAGGCAATAAGATGAGCGAAAGTAGATTTAAGAAGCCTGGTCATGTGCAGCTTCAACTTAAAATAACACCAATTGAGATAGATGATTTGGATCAAGTGGAAGAATTTAAAAGGGCACGTTGAAGGCTTGAAAGGGTATGGGTAGAAGTAGTGACAAGATATATGGTGATTTCTGGTCTGACGACCCTTAATAAAGCAAAATGACATAATAAGATTTATGCACCCGATACTAAATAATTGAGATAAAGTTCAAATGATGATGATAATCAAACAGTACATTAATATAATATATTAAAATTTAGTAATCATTTGAAAACTTCTATTATTAAAAAGACGGACCTAAAAATATTCAAATAAACTACCCCCGATGTTAAGAAGTGTCACATAACTAGCATGTAAAAGTACCATCTAAACCTTTTATCGAGGTATTTTTTTCCGTTAATTCGTGATTACCTAAAAATAATTCAAAAGACTCAGTGGAGCAATTAACCAATGAAAGATAAGTTGGATGCTGATTTTCAATATTCTAATTTTGATATGCATCACAAATTATTTGCC